GGGGGGGGACAGGCATCCATGTTAGTCGAGTGCGACGAGGGGAGGGGGCGAGAGAGTCGGCACAGAAGGAGCTGAAGAGAGAGAGAGAGAGAAGGAGCAAGTGGCCGGAATCCCACTGCAGCCGAGCCCCGGTCACGCACCGGGTCCAGGGCCGCCAGGCCGCGGAGGTACTTCGGCCGGTCACTCTTGTCGCGGATTTGGGCCGAGAAGGCTTGTAGCTTCTCCATGTGGCGGACGAAGGACAGGATTTCCGCACACCAGGACCGCATGCAGAAGTGCTGGAAATCCTGCAGGTGGGTTTTGGAGGCGGTGGCCACCAGGAAGCGGTAGCTGTAGCGCATCTGTCGAAGCTGGGCCTTCGGCACCTTGGGAGCCACATCCAGGCCGCTGCCACGGCGGGTGGACTTCGGCCGGGGCTTCAGCGGGCTAGCCGAGCCGCCCTCGGCAGGGGTGGCCGAGGCGCCCAGCTCGCGAAGCTCCATCGCCCCGGGGTCCGTGGCGGAGGTGATGTCGCCGGTGTCGCCGGTGTCGGACATGGTATCGCGGAAGCTGCCACTGGACAGCGGGTTTTCGCCATCACTGCCGCCTGAGCTGTTGGAAAGCCGCGACTGGATGAACTGGTCGATCTCCTCGCGGGTGAGATTAATGCGGCTGTGTGTATATGTGCGCGTGCGAGGGAGGGTGAGAGGAGGGTGAGGGTGAGAAGAGGGCTCGGAAAGATGTGCGAGACAGGGACCTCCGGAGCTGGAGGAGAGACGGACACGCCGAGAAGGAACATGGCCAGGCGGAGAGGGGTGGGGAGGGGGGGGGGGAGGAAGGAGCCCAAAGGCGTACGTCATATGGCGGTAGAAGGGTCGGAAGGACAGGAACACCGGGAAGAAGGAGACAATCAGGTTGTTTGCGCTGATGGCGGCCGCAACCAGGATCACCGGTGACATGAAATGCCCGAGGCGAGCGGCGATCCAGGCAATGATGAATAGCGAGGAGAGGCCCAGGATAACCTGTGGAGGGTGTTGGGCCCGGCGCGCATGCCGGCAGAGCACCGCGCAAGAGGGGATCAGGGTCAGTCACAGGGGAAATAGGGTGCGGGGCGAGGGAAGGCTGCTTCTCTCTCTCTCTCTCTCTCTCTCTCCCCCCCTCCGCCCAAGCAAACAGTGCCACCAGTCCAGGCGGCAGCGGCAGCAGCGGCAGCAGCAGCAGCAGCAGCAACGTACGCCAAGTTCGAAGCGCTGCATGTACGTATCGGGCGTATTGCGCAGGAGGTACACAAGGGCAACGACGGCCGCCACGACGATGGCCAGGGCCAGGGCCGAGAAGATGAATGTCTGGGCCAGGCAGTCGTGGTCGGTGCCACCGATGTGGTCGGCGAAGCGCCAGTCGATCTTGGTCCCGAGGTACGTCAGCCCGGCGACGACCAGCACGGCGATGATCATGCAGTAGACCGTCAGATTGACCATCGGGGTGTACCACCTACGGAGGAACTGGTTCCGGCGGAATTGGCGCTGGATCTTGATGCGGTCGCGCTCTTCATTGGCCTCCATCAGCAGCAGCCGGTGGTACTGGTTCTGGAGATGGACATTGAATCCACGAAGGACTTGGGGCTGGACGCAGCGTCGAATGGCCGGTCAGTATGGCTAGCACCGGGGGCGGGGACGAAGAGCGGAGAGGAAGCAAGGGGAGCTGGGAGCCGGGCGCAGTGGGTGGCTGTCGAGCTTGCCGGGCGCGGAGCACGCACCCAGGTCCACAGAATTGGGAAGGCAATGGCCGAGGTGACGGAAAAGATGCAGTTGACCTCCATGCGAGAGATGGCCATGGCCAGGACATGCACCGACCCGCCGACGGTGGACAGCAGGGTGATGAAGGCCCCGCGCGAGCGGACCGGCTCATGTTTGGTTCGCAGGAGGAAGGGAATTGGGCTGAGGAAGGACACGGCAAAGGCCGTGAGGAGGAAGACCACCTCCGCGTGCATGGTGGTCTGTCACTCCCTGGTGCCGGCTGGGCAGGGGTGCGGCGCGGGGCGGCTCTGATGGAGGGCAGGTCCCCGAGGGGGGGGGGGGGGGGGGGGGGGGGCGGGGGGATAGAGGACGGGCGAGAGGGAGAAGGGGAGGAGGAGGCGGCGGCGGAGGAGAGGAAGCTTGCCCCGGCGGGTGCAAGGGGAGGGGAATGTGGGGACAGTCTTGGGGGACACTTGGAGCAATGCGTCGGCCAAGGCGACCCGGCCGCCCAAAAAATGGCTCTCCGCCGGCAATCGGCATCCGGGAGGATGTCCCGAGTGTGGGTACCCCCATGCCAGCGGTGCTGGTGGCAGTGCGGCGGCGGCGGCAGCGGCGGCGGCGGCGGCGGCGTGCCACCTCCCAGCACAGCGGGGGGACCGCGCCCCGGAGAGCGAGGGAAACAGAGTCCCTGAGGCCAGGTGGGGGGGGGGAGCCAGGGAAGTGTCGATTGGCGGCCAGGGAACTTGGCAACACGACTGGCTTGCCTGCCTGCCCCGCAGGGCGGCCCGGGCTCGGCACCGGGGGGATGCCGTACGGGAGCAAGCACACACTTCGTTGGGCCGGCGGCTCTCGGGCAGCCGAGTGGCCATGGGCGTGGCGACGCGCTCAAAGAAGGCCGAGCAAGCACACCGGCCTCGAGGGCCAGATCGGTGGAAGGCCTCTCCGGAGCCTTTCGGGTACCTTCGGCTGCCAGGGGGAGGCTGGGAGATCTGGCGATCTTGGGGATTCCCTTCTTCAGCCCGCCCCCCTTGGCCCGGCAGACGGTAGTCCGGCGAGCGGGCCGACGGGCATTCTTACACCGGGACCGACGCCGGGACATATCCAGTGCCTGGAGGTCCGGTTCGACTGGGGCGCGCCGTTTGCGTAGGGCACCTGGCCGGAGGGTGGGCGGGGGGGGGGGGGGGGGGGGGGGCATTTCCGTTGCATGGTGTCCCCGCCCCTCGCATGTGTGCGCCGAGTTCCGGTTTGGTTCTTTCCCGGGTGCGGTCGATGGTGACGGGGGGGGGGGTGGGGGAGGTGCGTAAGCAAAAGACTCAAGGGCTGCCAGGAGCAGGGGCCCGTGGGCAGCCCCCCGGTGGGAGGCGACCAGCCTGGCCGGGGCTAATTCACGGCCCTCCGCTGGGCAGGGCGGCAGGGCGGCAGGGGGGGAGGGGCGTCCGGGGAGGACCCCCTGGTTCGAAGTGAAACCCTGTGTCGGACCTGATGGCCAGAGTCGGCCAGTACACTCCGGCGACCGGGGGGGGGGGAATCGGCTAGGGGCGGGGGGAGTTCCCTGAAGGTTGCCTTCCGCCGGCCGTAAAGGCCCCCTCTTCCGCCCCTGTGGCCAGTGTCCGGGGGAGAGGGGCCCGTGGCGAATACCGAAAAGACGAGCACCCGATCGCGCATATTTGCGGCGCCCCCCGGGCAACCGGGCGTCTCCCCCCTCGGGGGGGCGAGGGGGAACTCGGGAACCTTGGCGGGCAGAGCGAGGCCGGGGCGGGGGGGGCGGGGGGGG